ATAATAGATGACACTCAAGTAGATGAAAATACTATAATTGATTATCAAATTGATGATGAAAATACTAAAATTGATAATATGCAAATAGATGAAAATAATAAAATTGATGATCACATTGCACTCAAATAGATGAAAAAACTCAAGTTGATGATGATTCTAAAATCACTGATATCATATTGATGATGCTCAAATAGATGATCATCTCGAAATGGAAGACTGAAGGAATTGAAATCAATGATGAATACAATTTTGTCGTCCGAATTCGGGGCCCTAAAAAATATGTAATTCATTTTGAATTTAAAACAAGAAATATATTTTGAAGTAAATTGAATTTGAATAATTCTTCATTCTTTTTCTACTTTGACATAATTTCATAGCATTAGAATAACCATTAATCTTTTTTTCATTCAATCAAATAATGTATGTACACTTTTCTAAATTTTCTTCTTTAGATTGAATAATTCATTATCAATGATTGTAATTTTTAGGTTTTTGTACAATATCATCCTTTAATACAATTTTCTTTATCTTGTGATAACTTCTCAAGTTTGTTTATGTATTCATGAATCTCTTAGTTACATTTATCTTAAAATTCTACAGATATCCAGGATGCAATAATTCTTTGCAAATATATGTACTAGGTATAAGTTTATCTCCTCCTTTATCGACTCCTAGTATAAGAGAAGTCCCTTTTTTATCATAGTAATGTAACAATTCTTGATGATTAGTGCCCTTTGAATGAATTGTATGCATGATATTTTGGTGGCTCATATGTGAGCTACCAATTTTTTACTAAAATATTGAATTCTTTCCAATCATTTACATCTAAGATGACATAATTTTGTAACATTAAAATATCCAGTTGATATACATCCAAATTATACAATATTTCAATCATTATTCAATGTTTCAATACATTTTTTCAATCCATGAATTATGAGTTGATCCCGACCAAATTACATACACTTTTTTTCCTTTTGTTTTTAACACTTTTCTATTAAATAAATATCTGAATATTTTGTTTCGGTAATTTTTATGCCTGAAATGAACCTTGAATATCTTTAAGATGATAGACAATAAGATTGGAATGAATGATTTAGCAATTTCAAATATTTCCATTGACCGTTTACCACTATATGATTTATCAAATATAGATTTTAATGTATTTACTCTTACTTTCTCGACAATTTTGAATTTCAGTAAAATAAATGTCTTGTCTCTTTTTTAAACAGTTTTTAATAATATTTTTTTACTAGATTTCATTTGAAGAGTATGAAGTGTAGTAGTTCACGTTTTTTCTTTTAATGTACAATTTAATAGTTTATCTACAGATACTTTAAGTTCTGAAAAACTTGAATAATGGTGAAAGTTATAATCTTTCATAAGACGTTGAAATTCTTGAATTCTTTACCACAATCTGTATGTAAATATTTAGGTGTTCTTTTGGAGAGTATATTATCCATAGTTGTACTTACATTTACTGGCTGATTTACTTTTACTGGTAATTATTTTGAAAATACCTAAATAATTATTGATATATGAGCATACCCGTTATTTATTTTTGATAGACCTTTTAATTATCCTGAATTCATTTCTACTAAATCCACTTGTCATAATTCATCAATTCCTAATGTTACAACTTTACGTTTGTGGAAATATTTTTGTTTATGTAATTGTACAGGTTTATGTACTTCATCGATAATAGTTTCTCGAATATTAAGTTTTTTTTTACAACTTTACTTCTTTTCTTTCCATTCTGCACATATACCAACTATTCTAGATATTCCATTTTTTATTATTTCCTGATTAATTTGAAACATATATTTCATCGTATTAAACGTCAGTATTTTTTTACATTTCATACAATAAGTATACATTTATATAACTTATAATTGTAAATGCATTAATGCTTGAATTATAATACAAGAGAAAGGTTCTGAAAATATTTACTGATTGCCAAAAAGTTTTATTTCCTTTTTTGAATCATAATGGTCGCGTTAACACATCCATTTTCGTCACCATCTTTCGAAATGACTAAGATATAAATATATTTAAAATCTATATTTGCTACAAACTTTATGACTTGAACATTGCATGTAACTTCAATATTTGTATCACCTGTATCTGCTCATTAAAGGTAGATTTTGAAATAAGGTCATGTACAATTTTTAGAAAATTTGATTGCTTTTTGCATATTTTTGCATGAAAATACCATCGAGGAAGTACGTGGTTTTAGCATCACTAGTTACTTGAAAGTTATGTGAGAAGTTAATAGTTACTGAAATTTTTTTTGGAAATGGGTAGGGTAATTTCCCTCATCCCGCCTCCCTCTGTGGACCCGCACATGATTAAATACGATCTAATACTAACAAAAAAACTGTATTAATCTTTCTTCTTATGATTTCAGTTACATATACCCATGAATGAATTTAAATTATGTGGTCACAAAGCACAAAATTCTATTGGGATACCCTTCAGAAAAAAAATTATTCTCATTTACTGTTTTCTTGTTAGCGGTATTGGCAAAATGTAAATCCCATATGAATGAATTTTCATTGTGGCTTGTAACCCATTGTTGGAATGCTGTTTTTGTTTAAACATTTGAGTATTTTTCAACCTTCGTTTGTTTAAAAATGTTGTTTGTTTTAAAACAGAAATTGTCATATTATAATATTACGTGGCCATTAACAACATTCTGAGAAACTACACTCTGTACACACTATAAGAGATTTGCTGTTGTAGCCCCATTAGTTTACAGATTGGTATGGTCATGCTGGTTTTCCATTGTGATAGTGTTCTGCCTCTGTTTATAATGATATTACATAGTAATATAATTAGCTGATCTTCTTACTTCTTGCCTGCATATTTCAATAATTCATTCCTAATTCCATCACTACTTGGTGCTTAAAATTATAATTCACATAAATACTGTAAACTTCGCTCAATGCAGAATCTCAAGTGGCCAAAATTTTTTTCTGCATTGACAACTGTAGAATTTGCCAGGACTGCAGTTTTCGTTCACATTATACAGATTTTCAAATTATACATGTTATATCTGCTTCGAGAAAGTTTTATTTTAGTTAAAGAAGTTTATGTATTTCTTGCAGATCATGTTGTGACTACTACAAAATTACGTGATCATCACTAAACATTAGGATATTTATACATTTATTTTGGAGGTAGCATTTTTTCTGAAATTACTGCATTTTTTCTTTGCCTTACAATGTCAATATATTAAATATTGTAGGCAATAATGCACTATCACCAGTACTGGTATGTTTTAAGGCAGTTTTAAAGCTTGTGCGTACTAGTGATTGAGTGATGGAGAGTTTGTGGATTCCCTGATCACTTCCAGGCAACTGCCAGAAGAGTACCCTAGAAAATGGGCAATGGAATGCATGCGATCCATCCTTTCCTTTCCTTTCCTGTTTCCATCCTTAAGCTTGAGCGATGGGTTGGTCATCTACCCTCCTGCAGCTTATCCTAATGATCTACGAAACCTCTCACAAGTGTTGGGAGACAGTAATGGCCTGAAGTGGACTGTAGAGCTTTAATAGGAGAAATGAATAATGTACCCCCTTGACTCATCCCTCTAATAACTCATTTACTAAGCTATGTATTTTTCAAATGTTACTGAGTGGGTACATTTTGGACTCGCTCTTTTCCCCCCTAAAAATAAATACAGACTTTTTAAATATTTTTAGTACTAATATAAGACCATAATTATATAGAATTGAAATGCTTCAAGGGGGAGGGAGGTGTATTTTATTATACTTTTAAAAATAGTTGTAGTTGTGACAGGGTTAAAATAGGGACCAATTTCTTCTGTAAAGCACTACTAGTACATGTTGTTTTTTTTCGTAATTTTGAAGTATTTAGTATATTAAATATGTAAAAAACAAACCTCTAATTATTATCTAACTACTAAAAAAGCAGTCAAATATGTGAACTGCCAGAATTGTATTTTAAAACCATTAATAACTTTAAGAAAAAATTATGGTGTGGGTATATATTGATTCCAATCAGTAAGTGAGGGGATATTCATTTTCTCATTTGATTTCTTATTCTTTTTCCAATATGAATTCCTATTGGTGTGCTTTTGCTTAAATTTTTATTGCATTAATTTCAAACTCTTTCACTATAATTTCCATGTGTTACATGTAGAGCCCGTAAGTTTGGCAAAATGTATTTTTATTACTGTTACTATTTCATAACTTTTGACAGTAGGAATCACTTAATAGTACTTCTGGAGTAATTTTATCTTCTGATACCCATTTTTGTTTTTTAACACAATTATTTTGATGTTTTCTCGTCCTGGCACCAGTCTTGATCAAGTTGGATATAGCAAGCCTGGACAAGACAAAGGCACAGTCCTGTTTTGTTTTTGTGTGAAAGCACAGGCTGTGTTAAAAATATAAATGAAAAAGATGATAAATGATAAAGATTTTTCATTGATGCCCACAGCCTATGTTCATTCATGAAGAATCCCATCCTATTTCTGAGTACGGCCTCTGATCCCTTTGAAGGACATCTCTTTATATTCAACATACCCTTGGCACTTAGGCAAGTGTAAAGAACGAAAAATATAATTGTTTTTAATGATGACATTTCAAGATTCAAAACTTAGGACAGCATTTTGAAGAGACTGTTGTGAGTAAAACAAATTTGTAGTCATCATACTGGATGGCTATGTGGAATCAGAATCAAGATAACAAAGAAAATATTCTTACCTTACACATTAAGTGTTAATTACACATTTTTCATTGTTGTTTTGCAATAATTCCTTTTGAATGTGATTTTCATTGTTTACATGCCTTTTTGCGCCCAATTTGAGCTAGAATAAATGCCTATTTTAGGTCAAATAAATGCCTGAACTTCCAGGCTCTAGTTACATGCATGTCCATAAATATTCTTTGACAGTATGTACTACTACAAAATCATCTTTTATTATAATATTTTTATTTTTAGGGGCGATAAGCCCGTGTGCTAAGAAAATAAACTTTGTAGCTTTTTTTTTTTTTTTTTTTTTTTCCGCTTAGGGAAAGGCTACATGAAAAGAAAACAACATCAAAATCTTGTGTAGCAGATAGTTATTCTATATTTAAAATGGCAGCATTTGCTAGCCAGCACAGTATTTATCAGCTCAATACTCACAAAGATAAAAGCCATACAAAGAATCGATACAAGTGTAAAATATAAACAAAAATACATGGAAGGGAATGTTTTTCCATCAAAAAGAAAATTTGCTTATGTACACAATTCACTTTTAACACTCCCACAATTACAAAAATAGTAAAACTAATAGGGTTTATGAAAAATTCATTGAAAATATTATCTACAAAATATATAGAAGTTTATGATAAGTGTGAAGAAAGTTCAGCATTTAGAATCTGTACACCAGTGTTCTATAACCAATTAAGCAACCTTACTAATTTGAATGAAGGAATAGAACTGGAGGCAGTGATTTACATTATATGTACAATGGAAAACATGAATATTAGCAATGCATAATTCTTCTGCAAATTTGGGTTCAGAAACCCAGTAGGCAATTTTATTGTGTCTTTCGACTTTTTCAGTTCAATTCCAGAAATTTGACACAAATGCATTTGATTTAAGAATAATCAAAGCATGGCATGGGAAACTGCCACAGCCCCACAAGTACAAGGATAGTCCTAAATCTACCACACGACTGTGTTCATAGCACACATTCACTTCACTAATTCGGATTATTTGGGAACCAGTTGTCTCTTCTATAGTGCAACAAGCGTGAACAAGTTGCATATGAACACAATGCCAGGGCACATCATAACTTGTGTCACAACAAACATGCACTTGCTCTTCTCCGTTATGATCAATATTCTATTTTCTTTTATGTATATGCATCCTTCCTTAAATCACAATTATTTGAGTTCATCACACTCATGGATGAATAAACATCAAAGAAATCTAAGCATTACTTCAAAAATACAATTTTCTTTTCAAATGTTTTAACATCATCCACAGTACATTAGATCTTTAAGTAAACAGCTGTTCCTGATTGTGATTACTACACACAGACGTAAAAATTTCTGAAATTAATAATCTAGTCTACAGATCGAACACTTTGCACATGATGTGCATGTGATAGAGAAAATTGCATCAATTTACATTGGTCTCAATCTGGTATACAGAATGTTATTTGTGAAAGAAAAATTGACACTTGATACAAAAATATTTTTCTTGTAATTCCTATAGAGCAATTAGAAAATTCTTGACAGTACTGTTTAACAGTAAAAGTACACACTAAAAATACAAAAAGAAATTTGAGCATGAATATATTTCTTGCAGATGGAATAAAGTCTTAGAGATTCTCATATACGTGGCTATATATTTAAAATGTTAATAATCACAAAAATTTGCAACAATGTAATTGTGAAATAGATATTGTTGGAAATTTATTGCTAGTTCTATTACAGAATCATTAATAAACTTATACAAAGTAATCTCAACTGTAAAAAATTGCATTTATAAGAAATAGTTCCAAAAAATAAATGAATAAATCCATAAAATTAAACATGATTAATTGGAGATACTTCGAAAATAATTTCTAGAAATGATTACTTATACAAGCATGTATTAAAACAAGATCTTGTATAGTTTGAGGCACAGATTTCTTTCTTAACACTTTTTTATATTCTTAAGTTGTTTTGCTTGTACAGACAATAATATTTAATAAAAAAGACATTGATACTTTTTCTCCTTTTGGAATAATTCATTTACGATCTTGCCATCAGCTGATGTGAAGTAAAAAATAAAAAGAATAGACAACAAAATAAGAAATTTTAAGAATATGAAATCTAGATCATCACTATTTTTTCACAATCATAATCTGATATCTATCTATATATCTTCTTGATCAATCATAACATTATAAATAAAAACAATAGTGTTATGTTAAAAAAATAATTAAAAACAGTAAAAATGAATTTTCATGCATTATGAAAATTTACTATTGTGTTATCATGTCAATGAGTACCATTACAGTATAGGCACTTATAATAAAGAAACAAGTTGGAACTCAAATCACAATAGAAAAGAATTTTCACAAAATAGGTTATCACAATTAACATCATATATTGTTCCTTCCACCAATTTCTCCTTCAAGAAATTTTAAATATATTCATTAATTAAATTTTTGAACTTTTGGTATTATATTCTAAATTTCTATGCTTATAATAAAATACATCTTGCTTACTACTATTATACACTATTAATTTACCAATAAATACGTAGGAAAAAAAATCAAATGAATCCATTAAAAATCAAATACCTTCAAGATGTAAGAGCATAAGAGCACCTTGTACAGAAAAGGTTTTCCTTTCCCCCTCAGATATAAAAATTATTTAAAGAAATTTGACACAGCAACTTTTCACAATATCCAAATATGAAATACAGTTTTGTGAATTAATAAACTACTTACAAAAAATAATAAGTTATGAGTTTTATCATTTATAAATCTGTAAAAATAATGTAACAATGTTTGCACCATAATAAATATTTATCTTCACCACGTATATGAGAAATAACAAATTGTAATAATGTACAACTACAGGTATCGTCCACATAAAATCAAGAAAAAATAGCCTAATAATTCATATAGGCCACCAATTATCAAATAAAATATAAGTTTAATCAAGTATTCATGAAATTTATGTTTCACTTCCTTTCAGGGTTTTGGAGTCACTTCATTTCATGCCCTGGGAACACCAAGTGGAATATCACACAGCAGTAAAGGATTTCAATCTTTCTCACACTTTCCAATGGAGGCAGGTACTTATTCATGTTTAAAGCGTCTAACTATATGCCAATTCCTTCTTCATATCCTAGCGTATCTAGAACTTTCACTGTATATATTTGTTTTTACACAAAGCCCTTCCAAATAAAAGATTTGAGGAACAGTCCGATTTAATCACTCTCTGGCAAGTACGCTCTCCTGGCACATTACGCAACTAGCACAGCCTCACTCGGGAAGGGGAGGGTGGGAGTGCGGCGCTGCAGAGTCTGTGGCCACTCCAGGAGGTGTGCCCGGTCTCAGTACGCTGAGGCTTCTTTGTACTCGGACCCTTCCATTGTGAAGAAGTCTTCCAGCTTCCACTGGAGGGTCTCAAAAGTGGGCCTCTTCATGGGGTCCTTGTGCCAGCACTCCAGCATAATGTCATACAGGGCACTGGGGCAGCTGGGTGGACACGGCATGCGATAGCCATGCTCCACTTGGTGCAGCACCTCCGCATTTGTCATCCCTGTAGTGGAAGAAAGTATAAACACTTTTAACTCTCGCAGCTGAAAATGTGGGCAAAAATAAGAACCAAACTCAAACTGAGTTTTCATATTGCAGAAGATATTGTAAATATCATTTGGGGGCAAATGACAAAGATTTGCAACCAGAGAAAGGAAAAATAAATAAATAACTGTTAATTTGGAAAACATAGGAATGGAAATAAAATAATAATAAACAAATTAAAAATACACACACAATCCACTTGCACATTAATAGCAGTAGAAACAAAACTAAACATAAAAAAGTTGGATGGATTAGAGAATTTAAAGGGGTGAAACTACATTAGTAAGCACAATGGAGTTCAATGATGTAATCACGTATAAAAAGCAAAGTAGGCAATAAAAGAAAAGACTGGGAAAAAGATTTATGAGATTAACAACGCGAAAGGGCGACAAAACAAAAAACAAATACAGAGCAAAAGAAATAGATTAAAAATAATAAGTAAGAGTACAAAATATGAATAAATAATGATGGCAAAATAAAGAACACTACTAATTACAAATCCTTAGGTCTATTACTTTCCATTTTCAATCTTTCCATAAATTTGATAACTAGAAAACATTATTTAGTATCTGTATAATTATTACACAATATCAGTCTTAGAAACTATTATTATGTTATCTTAATATGAATTCTAAGTTAAAGGAAGGAAATTGTCACTTTAAATTGCCAGTGGGCATAGAGAATCTAAAAGAATTTTTTTGATTATCTGCAATCAAATGAAATTAACTATACAGAATACATTCAAAAAATGCCCAAAGCCAAAAAGAAACATTCAGACTTCCCACCTCACCACATACAAGCTTTTGCACTAACCTGGATATGGAATGCGCCCATATGTTACCAGTTCTGTGAGCAGGATTCCAAATGACCACACATCAGACTTAATTGAAAATTTGCTGTAATTGGCTGCCTCAGGGGCAGTCCATTTTATAGGGAACCTTGCTCCAACTCGAGCCTCATATTCATCCTCCTGGAAAACAAGCAAATTTATATTCACTCCATTGATTCACAAACACAAGTTGCTTTTATATAAGACAAAAACAAGCCAGAACCTTAATCAATCTAGCCAGTCCAAAATCTGCTATCTTTACAATATTGCTGTCTCCAACAAGAACATTCCTAGCAGCTAAATCTCGATGAATGTAGTTCTGGGACTCTAAATAAGCCATTCCAGCTGCAATCTGTGCTGCCATATCAATTAATTGAGGCAATTTCAGAGAACGCCCTTTTCCTGAAAGCAGAATCAAATATTAATTGAAACCTCAATCAAAACTAACTGAACAGATTGATAGAATTTTCATTTCAAGGGGTTAAAGCAAAAGCACTAGATTTTATAAATACACATATAAATGCACGCGCGCGCGCGCGCACACACACACACACACACGCATTAAAATTAAAATAAATAAAAATAAAAAAAATATAAAGAAAACTGATTTTCCACTCAAAATATACTGTGACTCACAAAACTTTTCAGACGTGGGAAATTTAGCAGAATAATCATGGATAAGGAATATTAAAACAAGAATGTAATATGTTGCCTATTTTTTAACATGAGTATTTGAAGATATGTTTTAAACATTATTGTTTACATATCAATTGTTTCAGAGACTGCTAAAAATGTCATTAAAATGTCAGAAAGAATGTTGTAAATAAAAAATTCTTTGTAGTTTATTTCTTACACACTGATTGAGGAGCATAGTCAAATTTTCGAACAGATATTTAATGTAGTTCCAAATAACATGCAATTATGTTAACAAAATGTAAATAAATACAATAAAATAAAAAAGAAATAACTCACTCCATTACAGAAGAAATATTTTCCATGTAACGAAATATATTACTTACCTTGCAAGTATTCGAGCAAGCTACCGTTCTTCATCAGTTCTGTAATGATGTAAATAGGTTCTTCCATAGTACATACAGCATATAACTGAATAAGCTTATTATGACGCAACTTTTTCATAATATGAGCTTCAGCCATAAAATCTTGTCCATCCATGGTCCCTTTATATGAAAAAGAAGGACCAGATCATCAGTTTAAAATGTATTAAAGCAAATAATATCCCTTACATTATTTTAAGCTCAAACATATAACATATACTACACTATTGTTTACAACTCCATCGTTCAATATAATCTGTTCATGGCACCAGAAACAATTAAAATTATAAAGTATTATGCAATGTATATCACTATTTTAAGAGATAACTTTAGGATTTGATGATCATTTGCATTATAATTAATTTTTGTATGTACATTCTGATAAACTTACCTGGTTTTAATGTCTTGATGGCAACAGGTGTAGTATTGTTCCAGAGCCCTTCCCAAACTTCTCCAAACTGACCATGGCCCAACTTGCGTACAAACTTGAGCGATGAACGGTCAATTTCCCACTGGTCCCGAGTGCTGTGAGACAGACCCCCTGTCACAGGCTTCTCCACCTGTGCAAAGGAGATCAAGTTCATTCATACCCTTCACATGATCTCTAAATGAACACTGTATTTTGATTTCATTCTGCTCAAATGTTGAGGTGATTATAATTCATCATGATATCTTACTTATCTATCAATCATTCACATGTAGTTATATATAAATATAACTATTATATATAATTGCACGTGAATGATTATTTGACCAAAGCACACACAAATAACACACATAAACAGAATGTAATCACATGGAAGATATACTAAAACATCTTAGAAAGCAATCAACAAGCTCTGAGCAATACCCTAAATGAAAACAACCTTTTCCTTATTGGGGAAAATCATCATCCTCATCATCATCAACAACTTTAGTTTAGAAATAATGTTGAAGTCCTATCAGACGGAAAAATTGGGGGAAAATCACAGCACTATTTATTATTTTTAATTTACCAGTTTTTTAAAGCTATGTCTAAAAAAAAAAGGGGTTGTCTCAGGAAAACATAATAAATTTTTATTAGAAACCTGAAAATTTTACGAAAGTTGTGTTCACTCTGTGCACATTGTGATCAGTCAATTGAAATGGCAAAATGTATCAACAAACAGAAGGGCAACTTCACAAAATGTATGATAAACATATGCTTTAAGGGAGTCTATCTTTTAACAAGACTTGCTAAGAGCTTGCTGCTGCTGCTATTTTTGGAGACAAATGATGAAACATGGATATATTTGGGTAGATGGAGGGACGCAAGCACTACACAAGTCAACAAGCAACAATGTAGAGAGGCAAAACAATAAACGAAATGAAATAAATCAATGAACAACGAAAGTAACATTTCATAAACACTTCATTAACTAATCAAAGGAGGAAGATATTAGTATAGGTGATGGGCTTAATCAACTACATTCCTCAAGCACAGTGGGTGCAATGGCCAAAATGTTTTCTGCTCAACAGCAATGTTAAAACCTTTGATCACACTTTGCAGTGGGCAGAGGACACACTGGCCTCAACAGCATCTGGCAGTTGCACGCATTACATCAACTACATTGAAATAAAATATTCCAGAAAATGCAACGATAAAGAATGGAGGATACATTTTTTTTTAAAAAAAAAAGAAGAATTGTGTCCTTACAGAAACCGGAGTCACTCTTCAATACTGGTTATGTAATGGTACACTTACCATTAGGGAAATCATTAAAATATTATGAAAAAATATCCTCACTAGTGAGGGAGGCTGGTCACTACAGCTAATCTTGTTACTACACTCAACTACATCACAGAAGAATTATTACCTTTAGGTTCAGAAAATTACATATATTTCAGAACCACAACATTGATGTTTCTGAATTGAATAGCAATGATATAAAAAAATGTAATATTACAAGTTCAAGACTACTTTTCTTTGAGAAGTGCACTACGTACATGCTCATGCTCACTGCTTCCCCCAAAATGTGAAAAAATAAAAGAGGACTAAAATTTCTTATTTTCATTCAAACTTTACTTTTACACGTATCACATAACACTTACACAAGTGCAGATGATTTGAACCAAGTACACAAAAGTCCATTAAGTATTTTAAAACATTTTATTTGTTTAAAGCAATAAACTGCGTTAAAGATTTAGTAACTCAAAAAATGGATAGGATATTCGAAAAAATAAAATTTGTTCATATATTTCAGTATTGTATCATAATGGACCACCCTCTTCACTAGAAAACAAATTAAAGTTAGTAATTTATAAATATCAATGACAAATTTACAGCCTTCTTTAATATATAAAACTGTGCTCATATTGTAATGTGGTACTTGTTAAAATCATTCTATTTCAAAAAGAGCTTTGAAATACGGTTCTGTATCCTCTATTCCCCTGAATTTTATTGCAATTGTGAATAATACAGTAAACAATACAGTTTTCATAGAAGGTGCACAATGACAATGGGTCTCTTTGCATCCTCTGCCCAAAGTACCACACATAATGTCATAAGTGTAAATCTTTTGGATCTACATTCTTCAAACACTACCATTTAATGAATTAATGAAAGTAGGCCTATACTGATGAACATGCAAAATTCTGGTGCCATGTGTCCTTTATGACAGTCATAATAAATTTCCACAACAGTGATTCACAATCATGCAGATCCTACAAATGTTAAATACAATAGCAGTTGCATGCTGTGTTCATGTACACAACACTATCCCCACAATAATGCTGATCACATGTAAAGGAGTCAAAATTTCCATGAAAACAGATCTAAAAAGAAATTACGGAAAAGAACATTAACGATTTACAAATCATTTTAGACTCTTCATTAATTTTGAGCCTTTTATTTTTTTCTGAAAGAGAGAAAGAAAACTATCTCTAAGAAAATATCAAATACAATTTTTTTTTATTATTGATTTTGGAAAGAATAAATCAAAGCTCTGTAACTATCTGAAGAGTCTATTTTCTGTAGAAACACTTAAACTGCTCCTGTCATGCGCCAACCAGGCAGTTTACACACACTAGAGAATAAAAATGCAGCAAAACTCATGAAATGACCCAGAACAAAGAAATTAAAACACTGCAGTAAATTACATGCAGATCCCATTGCATTCCATTTAAAAACTCCTCAATTGAAAAATTCTTGCCTAATTTGGATTCAACGGCGGTTTTTAATGTGAAGTGGAATTTCGACTCATCAGACTACGAACAGCACCGTGCGGCGCACTCGAGGGGGACGGCTCCTCAGGTCTAAAGTCTTGTGAAACGTCACCAACACATGCAATATGGCAACTGTGCGCAGCATCATAGCAAGATGCCATATAAGACAGGGCTACACTAAAAACATCATCATTTACCACAAAATCCAGTGGGGAAGCAGTGAAAAAAAAGAAAGGAGACGACAAAGAATAAATTGGCCCATCAATGCCCAAAACTTACAAGAGATATCTCACAAGAATAATGGATTTATTCCAAATATATTACGTTGTTGGTGTCTCACCACTGTACACTGAACATTGATTTTTTCTATAGCTGATGACCCTCAAAGCCTCCCAGAAGCAGCAATTATTAGCTAATACTTCAAGGACAGTTCATGGACACTTGGTAATTGACGTTGCAAAATATATACTCCAGTATTAGAGTTGTATTCTCCATTCTCTTACAAAATATTTTAAAACATCATGAACTTATATAAACATGCAACCCAAGTAACTATTCTGCCACAATTCTTTTAAGCAAAACTTCGAGTATGGAAATGCATCATTAGAATATTCACTTTGCATAAACCAGCTTAATGTTACTTACTTTTAAAATTATTTTGTGGTACTTACTTTTAATTCTGCTTTACAGGCTTTAATAAACATTGAAAGTATTCAAGTCTTCCACAAGAAATCTGCATTATGCAATTTTACTCCTCATTGAAATATCACTGACATGTACAATATATTATAATATTTGTTTAGGAGGAAGGCAAGAAATCACACCATTATCATTACATTTAAAAAATTAGGACAATCTTCTCAAGAGATTTCATTTCTCCTTGAAACAGATTTGATCATAACTCTTTTAGAATTCCTCATTTCATTGCGTTTCAGCATTCCTTTTTGACATAATTTAACATGAAATTTCAGAAGTAATTGCATAAATATTTTGTTATCCAGTTTGTAAATATAGTATTGCAAAAATCAGTATTATCAACTATCTCAAAATTTTAAATTTTAAAACAATTTTCATTACCATGGAACACAAAAGAAATGTTTACAGCTTAATGTTCTATGAAGTTTTCCCTCAGTTCTTGCCCTATGTGAAATGGTCTATCAGCAAGAATACATTTATATCTTGCTTTTAAAAATCAAAAAAAAAAAAAAAAAAAAAAAAAAAAAAAAAAAAAAAAAAAAAAAAAAAAAAAAAAAAAAAAAGGAACCAAAAGGAGAATGGCAATATAATGAAAATTGAAAATGGACATCAGGAATGTTTACAAAACATGGAAAAAACAATCAAGGGAAACAGACAAAGTCCTGAAAGATCTTCATGTACAATAATATCCTAAAAGCAGTCAAATATACAAACATGAGAATTTACATCAAGGGCAACATTCTATGTACAACAAATGATGGCTGGATGTAAACTAAAATGAAACAGATCAGGGATGAAGGCTTTTGAAAATCAATATTGTATGTTACAATTGCTCCCTTTTATCTAGTTGAGCATTTTATTCTATATATTAAATAAATATATAATCATTGTAGTATAAACTGTAATTTATATCCACTAGGAAATTGCTGAAATAAAGATGCTCAACTTCTATGAATAGCTCTTATCATGGTTTTTGGATCGTGTTTTACCAATATCAAGCTTTGAAACAGTCTACAGAAATCCTCTTTTAAATTTGCATTCTTTAAAATATTAAATTTGTTTCCACAAATAATACATAACATTTGGTCAATGGAACATACATTACATGCTACTTGCAAGTACAATAAAGAAAAATTTACACAATTTCTAATATTTGTAACACCTTTTCCAAGAAACATGTACGTACATGTTATCATTGTAATTAAGAACAATAGCCATTCATCCCAGCTCTGAAGAAGATTTTGACAAAAAGACAGGAGGTGTACCTGAATGCATGGTTTACGCAGGTTTACACAAAGGCCATCTGCATCCTTGCTGTAGTGTTCCACTAATTCTTGCAGCGTCCGGAATGTTGTGCGTCTTGCAATGAAAAACCCTCCTTCATCCAGCTGCCGAATTCTATAGTGTTTTACTGTGTCTCCATCACGAACTGAACAATACAGAACAAACAAATAGCAGTTAGCACACTCATTTTTATAAAAATGATCTCTTGACTTTATAAAGACCTATGCTTCTAAAGTTTGGGATGAATTGTAAAGGTGTTAAGACACCAAGAGGGCTCATTTGAAAGCTTTACGAACAAGTTAAAATGGATAGAAAGAAAGGAGAAAAAGAAAAGAAAAAAATGAAAAGGAAGACTAGTGGTGCTAAAACAAGCACGTACTGTCTTGCTGTTAGTAACAGTTATGTACTACTATTTATTCAATTTCTCTCTGAATTAACACATCTCGGTCATCATTGTTTGTAAAACGCATTTGAAATTGCAGAACGTATGGTGCAAAAATTAAATAATTTCAAACAATAGATTTTTTATTGAAATCTTTAAATGAAAAATATAATTCTGTCATTGAATTCATTGGATAAGGTATTAAGGTAAGGTAGTGTGTTCACAAACATATCCTAGTGAGCACACGAGTTTCTTAGGTTTACAATATTCTTGTTAAGCAGTATGCAAGAAAGTAAAGAAATTCAAAGTTAATAAATAATACGATACAGATAGCGTTGGCAAACAAATGCAAATAGATTGGAAAATATATAATAGTAATTATTAAACACTTATAGTATTGTAATATTCCATAAATAAGTAAAAGTATAACTTTATATTACTGCTAATGAAAGGCAGCAGTCATTATCGCCTTCTGATAACAGTGAGGCGTTACAACAACCAACAATGACTGCTCATCTATTCATTTTCACATTTACACTTTTTACATTTAACACAATTAAAGAATGCAATTTAAAATTAAATAACATAAATATATTAAGTAATAATAACAAAATGAAACATTAAATAAAATACAAATTCTAACTTACGTAGCATCCTATCTCTATCTATTTAGTGTTTTTTTACAGCCTTGGCCGGTTTTCCGCATCCCAATTTCTATGCCTCTTATTCCATACATAGTTTTCCTTTATTTCTCTTTTTTCCATGGCTTCATTTATTACCATGTTCCATGTTTTTCTCGGTCTTCCCCTGCATCTTCTTCGATTTGTTATCCACTCCCAAACTTTTTGAGGAAGTCTTTCCGATTTCAACCTTCTCATATGTCCATACCATTTTAGTTGTTTCATTTCCATCGTCTTGTTCAAAGTTGTTTGCACTTTCATTTTATTTCTTATTTCATCATTTCTTATTTTATCTAACAGAGAAAGTTTACAACATCTTTGCCAGAACATCATTTCTGTTGATTGAAATTTGTCTTTCAATTTTTTTGATAGTGTCCAGACTTTTGCGCCATAGAGTGTAGTACTCTCTATGAAGGAGCTATATATGCATTTTTTTGTCTTCATTGAAATAATTGAGTTCCATTGGACTGAATTCAACTGTTTTGTGGCTATTTTTTCTCTTATATTTTTATTTTTCACATCCTGTTTGTCTCACTGCTGTTAGTGTGACTCCCAAATACTTATATTGTGTTTTACCTTTAATTATTCCTATACTAATGTCTAAATCATGGGGCATACCTCCCACAACCATATATTCAGTTTTTTGTAAATTTATTTCCATCCCCCATTTTCCATACTTTTCTACTAATTTTCTGAACATATAAGTTACATCATCTTCATCTTCAGCCATTATCACCTGGTCATCTGCAAATAGTAGACTAAACAATGTCTCATCACCTATTTTTACACCCATCACTTTTTTTTAATTCTTTTAGGGCTTTATCAATGTATATCTTAAACAGGGTTGGAGATATACAGCAGCCTTGCCGTAATCCTTTATTTACTGGAAAGTTGTCAGGTAGACATTCTCCAACTTTAACTTGACTTTTGTTATCTTTATAAAGGTCTTTGACTGCATTTATGTATGTTGTTGATATTCCTTTTTCTTCCATTGCCCCCGTACTTCTTTTACTGGTACATTGTCATATGCCTTTTTGATTTTGAGGTCAATGAAAATTATGTGAAGTTCTCTTCCTCGCTCAATTGTTTTTTCATCAGTTGTTTGAGACAGAAAATATTGTCAATACATGATCTTCCTGGTCTAAAACCACTTTGCTCTTCTGAGTCTGATGTTTGTATTTCAATTCTATTCTTTAGCACTCGTCCATACAGTCTAACCAAAGATGAAGTCACACTTATCCCTCTATAATTATTACAATCTTCTTTACAACCTTTTTTGTGAATTGAATTTATATAGGCAAATTTACATATTTCAGGTATTTTACCTCCTTTTAAAATGCCATTGAATATTTCAGTAATTAATTTCAAACCTACGATAGGATAATGTTTAACCAGCTCCATGGATATACCTCCAGGCCCAGGTGCTTTATTATTTTTCATGTTTCTTAACGCTTTTTTTTAACTCTTCCAAAGTCACATCTGGTGTGATCGAATTTACGTGCAGTGGTTCATAATTTATTCCCTGAAATTTAGCTCTATTTTCTGTCAAAAGATTTTCATAGTATTTTTGCCATTTTTCAATACCAATTGGGTCTACTAAATGCCATTCTTGGGTTGTATTCAATTTCATGGAATGTAACATTTTCCATGCCTCTCTGGATTTGGTGTTACCAATGCACTTGTCTAATCTGTCACATTTTTGTTCCCAGAATACATTTTTTGCCTTCTTCACTTCTTTCTTGACCAAATATTTCATTCTGTTGTATTCACTTCTGTCTTCTAAATCCTTTGTGGAAAGCCATCTCAAATATAACTTTTTCTTTTCTTCGACCAGGTTCTTTATATCTTCTGTCCACCACAAGTCTTTTTGTTTATATTCACATTTTCCCTTCTCTCCCAAAGCTTCTTTAGCGGCTTCATGAGTGTATTTTTCTAAAAATTGGTATTTTTCTTCAGTATTTCCTATTGGAATGTACTTTAATTTTTCTGCCATGTGCAATTTGTACAAAAATGCAATGGAATCATCTTGAAGGCACTCAATATTGTATTTCGGCCACATCTTGACTATTTTTCCACCTTTTGTAGTTGGTTGTGTGTTTCCGTAACTTTTGAAGTACGGTTTATACATAAGGTGAGCTTTTCCTTTTAGTAGGTAGTGATCTGATCCACAAGAAGCATCTCTTTGAACCCGAACATCGCTCCACTTTATTGATGACTGTTGTTTAGTAATTATGTAGTCAATTATTGGTTGCAATTTTCTAGTGGGTCAGGTCCACGTGAATTTATGTATTTCTTTATGTGGAAAATAGTCATTCAGTATTTTAAGATCATACATTACGTAGCATCCAATTGCATAAATTAGGAGCTGCGACTGAAGGCTAGCAATCTTTATTTCATATTTATTTAAAAAATGTTTTAAATAATTTCTTAAAGATTAACTTGTTAACGAATAACAAAAGCTCCAATGTAAGAAACGAACAAAGAAATATGAAATAATACACACATTCTAACTTTTATCCATCTGCCTCAAAACACCTCTAAAATTACGATAATGAAGTTCGGGATTTTAGGAGCTGGCGGCCAAGTTAGACGCCCAATTACTCCAAAAATACTCCTTTTCGAAAAATTCAACATCACCTTATTTGAAAATGTTTTTGATGAACACATTTCATTAAGAAAAAATGTACCTTCATAATTATATTTCTAGGAAGACGGCGACTTTCTTCTTCAATTTTCGAAATAGGTTTTTTTTTAACCAACATGAAACCTACACCATTTTCTTAAACATCCTTCAGACTATCCCACAACAAAATTTAATCAAAATAGATGGAGCCATTTTTTAAAGAAATTTTGAAAATGTCCAAGGGAGTTCATGTGAATTACCTCCCAAAATTTAAAAATATCGGTTTTAAATTCTATGGCACTTGACATCAGCCATATCGATAGGGGCAATAACAACTTTAGTTGAGAATATCAGTTGAACGGTTTATCCGCTAGTGTTGTTCACGGACGGAGGGACTGACGGACGAAGGGACTGAACGACGTTTCCGTATCAAGAACCCGCAAAACATGGATTCTGGCTTCACCACGCGTTTAAAGATAATTTTTTTCAAAGTTTAGCATCTGGATTTATCAACCTTTTCCTTTCCAGGGCCCTGTAAGAAGTTTTCTGCCGAAAATTCGCCGTTTTTTTCGCGCAGCATTACATAACTTTCTCTCTACCGCAGTAACGAGAAATCTAAAATAGAAAGAAAACCAACATTTTCTTACCTGACAAAGAATAATCATTATGCCGACTTTCCGAATCTCTTATAAGAAAAGCTCCGTGATCGTTCTCAGGAAGTAACAGCTTCTTTTCTGCTTCAATACGTTTTATCTTCCTGAAGTACCACCTAAAACAAAACAAAACAAAATTTTTAAAAAAAATATGGAAATATATTACTGGAAAAAATATATCAAAGCAAATCAATTAGTGTTACTGTGGTCTACATTTGGCATCCATTCAATATTTGAAAATAAATAAATACGCTAAAAGAAAAGGTCTTGTTTAGAAGAGGTTCTGCTTGATCAATAAATAAAATATTTACTACTACCATCTCTAAAGTATTCGATAAAATCAATTTTCTTTTTTGATCCGAAAGACTTTGTCTTGTATTTTAAATGAAACAATCTGTTTCCGTAGTGTCAAAATGCACCAAGAACCGTTTCCATGCCCCAACACGATTGAACTCCAAAACTTTGATACCTAGATTATTCACATTCAAGACAATGTATTGGGAAACAGTCAACTTGCAGGAAAATTCGCCGTTTTCTGGTGCTCCATTACAATACTTTCTCTTCTTATGTAAGTGAAAGAATATAAAAATTGGTCAAATTTGTATTTAAACTATATTAATACAATTTTTTATATACACGATTGATACATTTTGATTAATTTACCATTCACTTACTATTTGATAACGTACAATATTTTTGCAATATTTATTATACGTTATTATGTGACGTTCGTTTTACATCAACACTGCCTTTCACCCCGATCCTAATCGCAGCTTTAATGAGAACCCCCCCTTCTCAAAAGCGAAATTTACATTAGCTGTTTCTAGCATTCAAATAAATTTACAGACAATGATTCATTTTGAAGCGCGGTTTTAAATGCTTTTATTTTTTTTTATCACGCCATACGTTTTTGGGGGAGAACGAAAGAGAAAGAGGAGGCTACTTCTGTAGAGCCGGCCTCGACTCTCGGATGGCGGGAAGAAATGTGAAGCGGGGGCGTGGCGCTGCGGCCGGTACAGGATGAAATCTTATTTCCTAGAAGACATTTACGTGACTTTTTCCGTTTTTCAGTCCATTTTAATTTTTCCCGGATTTGATTAGTAACTTTACATTTCTTCAAGAAAATCTTAAAGGTAGTCTGATTCTAATTGGTCAGCTGACTAATTTCGCCGTGTCAAAGTACAAATAGAAAATATTTTCTGACCAAATAAAAACGGAGCAAAATATAAAAATGTACTGTTTTTCAGTGATAAAATCTTGTTTTATAACCCTCTAGAAATTATTTCTGACTTCTAGCGATTCTTCTGCAAATTCCACGACTTTCCCGAGACTTTTTGAGAGCAATGAAATTCCCTGATTTTTCCGGTTGTCCTTGTTTTCCCTGAAAGTGGCCACGCTTAACAACGGCTTGTGTGACTTCTTTGTCGAAGTTCTTTGAACTTTGACAGAGGGAACAGTCTAAAAAAAATAATAAAGTTATTTTCGTGCTACTTTATGCTTGATGATACCTAACCTACGTTTAGGGCGAAATGAAGATCGGAAGACGTAGTATACGAATTAGTAGATGATGGACGAGGAAACGTCGTTATTCTGCCGGCTTTCGTTCTTTCAAAAGCAAGTGCTCTGATTTTGAATTAAAAAACTTCATGAATTGCGCATTTTTCAAGCCCTTCATTTTCTTGTCTTAACGTGTCAATTCGTTCGGCTTTATTTTTGTACTCCGGATGGACAGTATAATATGAACATTCTAATTTCTCATACTTTGCAATTAAAACTTCGGTTGAAGTAATACTACGTGTACACTTTTCGGGTGACATATTACCAAATATATGTTAACACTGCAGACATTTTATCAAAGAAATCTTTTATAAAATGTAAGCTATTACACTGCCACTTTTTCTTGTACAATGCAATGCCAGCCGAAGACGGAGCGAGGGCGCGTCAGCGGGAGGAGGGACGGGAGAAAGCATGCCGGCGCGTTCACTTGCGGTGGAGTGG